AAAAAATATTTAAAAAAATTAATAAATATACAAAAATATATAAAATATATTGAATTTTTATTTTTTTTTGTATTTTTGGTATTTAGTGATTTTTTTGTAGATTTTTTTTCACGAAAATTATACCTTTTAAATATATTTATGTTAGTTGTGTCTAAAAATTAAAAAAATTACTTAAAATATTAAAAAAATTCAGTAAAAATAAAAAAAATACAAAAAAATAAAAAAGTAAAATTGTCTAACATGTGTTTTAAAAAAAAACCCAAACCAAGCAAAGTGAATATTTTTTAAGTTTTAGTATTTTTTTAATATTAAAATTATTTTTTATTCTAAAAAATATAATTTTTACTTAAAAATCATTTAAAATTTCACCAATCCCCTCACTCAATTCCTAATCCCAACCCTCCCATGACTTTGTTAGTCCTAGCACATGGGGGGATTACTAGTCCAAAGGGATAGTTAATCCCCTCATTCATGTTTCTAATCAAACACTCTTTATACGAGTCACACAGATTATTAATCTAATCTCTCTTCTCAAAGACCCAAACGAACATGACTATAATATTATCCTTTCGTATTGTTAAATGATAATTCTATTTAAAATATATTTTTTTATTTTTAATAAATTAAATATAAAAATTATAATTATAATTATACAATTATTTGTTTTTATTTAATTTTAATATACCAAACATAACATAAAAGATACAACTATTTATGAGATTTACCACTTAAGCAATACATATTATATGTATAATTTATTTTTTTTAGTCATTATTCTTATATTATTATTATTTTTTTTTGTTGATGCTTATGTAGAACACTAGTATATATTATTTTGTGTTTATCATAATACAGAAAGGCAAGGAGAAAGAGAGGTAATGGAAAGGAGAGAAAGGAAGCGGTAACAGGTGAAAGCACAAGTGGAACTGGCTAGTTAAGTCATTGATTCAATGCGGATCTCATTGGTCCGTTTTCAGGTTGTCCCGAGGATCCCTTAGTAAGGATCTTCTAGAGTGATTTTTTCTTAAAGTTTTCTAGAGTGCAACATTGTGTGGTTGAAATTTACTGGCAAGTCACATCAATTTTTCTGATGTGACTTGCCAGTAAATCTCAATCACACAATATAGCACTCTAGAAAACTTTAAGAAAATTTCACTCTAGAGGATTCTTAGTGGGATCCCTTAAGAATGTCCATGTATAATTCATCACAAATCACAAATTAAGAAGACAGACTGCAACACACCATACCTCCTTTATAATAGCATTTAAAGTCCTTTAATAACTTACACAAGAAAATATCTCACGTATTTAAAGAGTAATAATGACTTTTTTTTTTGTAAATTTTAAAAAATAAAATTACACCCAAAGCCATCAAAAGCTTATTAAGGCTAAGTTTGGGAAGTTGTCAAAAAGTTAAAAAATTAAAAAGTTATTCAAAAAGTTAAAAAGTTATCACTATTCACCAAAAATTCAAAATTACGGCTGCACAATTCCCAATCCTAATTTTCCCCTACACACTAATTTATATAATTTTTTAATACACATTTTTCTATAAAAAGTTAAAAAGTTAATCCAAACAACTATATTTTTTTTCTCAACTTTTTAATTTAAAAAGACAAAAAATATACTTATTTAAGACACCCCAAACAACCCTTAATTGACTCCCATCAAAGTGCAAGTATTGGTGGACGCGTAACGCTGGGTATGTGTTTCACTATTTAAGACCAACCCGTCATGTTAAAGCATCATGTCATATAAAAGTTGCGAGTTGAAGTCGAATTATTAGCTTGTGTCATTAAAATTGATTGTAGGAAAACATTTTCCATTCAAAATTATTTTCTATCAAAACAAACAGAGCAGAATATTTGATATGATTTCTTCATTGCACATAAGTTTTTGTAGTTTTCTTTTGTCCCCGTTCTAAATTCAAAACTAGAAATGTTTAAATTTTAGTGATTCTTCTCACTCAGTCATGCTTCTTTGCCTATTCCAGGTGACAATTCTGGTTGCAACTGATGAGAGACATGAGTTGCCTACAATCAACAGCTATTCAGACCTTGACAAAGCCCTGTACACTTTGACATCTATTTCTCACCAAGAAATTGAGGTAAACTAGTTGTATGAAGTGCTTTTATTTTATATTTATCTTGTCTTTTGCTTCTCCCTCTCTTTATCCCCTTTAAATTTGTATCATGAAACTTGTTCGTAGGCTGTGAACAGTGGTAGACTAAGAAAATTAAGTTAGTTTATTAATTACAATTTTTTATTTAAAAAAAAAAATCATGAGCAACATTAAGATAATAATAATTTTATGAAATAAATTTAAATATAAAAAATTACATATTCATTATTAATAAGAACAAATCAAAATTCTATAATAATGTGGAATAACTTGGTGTGGGATGATGATATAAGTTTGCAAGTGTTAGCACGAAAAATTATGGATTAAAATTCCTAATTTTAAAAAATAAAAACACATCATTTATAGCACAAATTATTATAAAATCTATTTAATTTTTATTTGATAGAAAAATGTTAAAGATATGACATTGTTTACAAATGATGTGTTTGAATGAAAATTATTAAACAGTCTTAGAGTACTATATGACGTTGCCTACGTGTTACTCAAAACATAAAAAATCACAAATCACACTAAGTGGTATGTCAATTACTTGAAAATAATGAGTCTATTATATCAAATCTATAATATTTTTCACTACACTATTGATTTAAATTACTATATAAACAATATCACATATTGTTCCTAAAGTATCAAATAATTATTTGTTGTAAATAATATAATAAATCCTTAGCAAAAAAATATGTTAAGAAAAAAAAAGAATATATTTTACACATGACAATAACAAAAAAATAAAAAAAAATTCAAAACTGAAGGGTGGCCCTGCTATGCCTCCGCCCCTGGCTGTGAAGGTCTTTTGGACTTTTCATGATAGCATCAAATGCCTCGTATTGTTGAAATAGTTACGTAAACAGATATTCTATGGTTGCATTTAGTAATATTATGAGTTAATTTGGAAAGATGGTAAAAAGTAATTTTTTAATTTTTAATTAAGTTTTTGATTTTTTTAGATAAATGATTTGAGAAGTTGGTAAAAAGTGACTTTTGGCTTTTTTGATTAATATTTGTTTATGATATCAAATCATAATAAAATGACTAAACTATCCCCATTTAGTTTAAAATATTTACAACTTCACCCATGTAACATATTTTGACTCATGAGAGATAGAATTATAATTTTATCGTTGATTAAAAACCAACTTCTCAAATGAAAAAAAAATTCAAAAAAGCTGACTTTTGACATTTGCTTCAAACCAAAAAAAAGTAACTAAAAGCTAACTTTTCAAAATAAGTCTATATATATATATATATAGACTAAGGCCTCGTTTGGGAACAGGCTAATTTAGTAACTTTTTAGCTATTTAGCTAAAAAGGTAGGTAAAAAAAACTTATATGTTTGGGATGATTTTTTGGCTAATTACGAAAAGATGTGTAAAAACTAGAGAGAAAAGAAAATTTTTGACTTTTTAGTATGAATTGTTGACTTTTTAATTAATTTAATAACTTTTTGACTAATTAACTAAAAAAATAAGTTTCCAAACGGAGCCTAAGAAATTATGAATAGAACAAGAAAAATGCTTGGGAGCACTAATTAGTGCTCCCACTAATTAGGTGGCAGTGGGTCCCGTCATTAATGATGTGATGTTTTGGTCTTGGAGTTGTTTTTTTTTTTTTTTTTTTTACTTTTTTAATGCATTAGTGTTATTAGTGGTGATGTTTTTAGTAGGATGAATCATTGTTGATAGAACAAATGGACGTGAGTCCCACACTATATAGTAAAAATTTTAGTAGTTTGATAAGAACATTTTTTTTTTCTAGCATTGATTGATGTGAGTGTTAAAATTGATGGAGGAATGATAACATGATGAGTGACAGACTATTTTATTTAATAATTTTTTCTGTTAGTGAATGACAAAGTCATATGCATATCCAGTTTCATGCGATTGGGTTAGCAATTTCAAGTCGACCATGTATATTGATCTCCAATGAGATTTGGAGGTAATACAGTAAACCTCACATTTTGATATTGTCACACTAATTATCTTTTTAATAAAAATAAAATGATCAAAACTAATGTTTATAGTGTGAAAATATAAAAATAAATAAGGTATAATATTTATTCCAGTATAGAAGAGAAAACAATATTAATTTTTCATTTACATGACTAAAAAATTAGTAATGAAAAATAGGAAAATATTACGTGAATTTAAACCTTAAAGGAGTCTAATATAATTAAGTCAAATTTGTAGAGTTTATTATTTTTAAAATTTTTCTTTTATGAAAGATCAATGTAATTTATTAAAAAACAAAAAGAAGTCGCACAGCACGAATGAAATCGACTTGATAAAGTTGATGGTGTTCATTATAAAATAATTGGGGATCATGTCATTATATACATTGTAAAATCCGGATGAAGTAATTTTTATAAAACTATGGTATCGTTTCTTTACAGGTTAATATACATGAAAATATGGGGATATTATTCTAATTCTCAATAGTTGTGCCTCTGGATAAGGATTATTTACAAGTTTTATCAAGGGTGAATTACACTAACGGTCCCTATAATTTGGGTTTTGTGTCATTTTGGTCCCTGACTTTTCAATTGTGACACATTTGATTCTGAATTTTGAATCTTGTTCTAAATAAGGACAATTGAAGATACCATTGGATTTTTCAAGGGCAAAATTGTCAATTTGATAAAATATAAACTAATTTAACAAAAATAAATATCAAAAAAATATTTTTGAATTTTTAAAAATTATTTCTATCAACTAAAGATAAATTATGTAAAATTGATAAATCTTTCAGACATTTTTTTTTTTACAAAATTAATTTTTATTTTGTGTTTGGATAATAATCGTGTAATGGGTGGTTATTTTTGTTTTCATTAAATTAGTTTCTATTTTTCTAAAATTCAAATATGGCGACAAAACAAGTTGTGGGAAGGGATGGTGATGTGTCAACAGTGATAGACATGTTACTTAGCTCTGACAACACTGTAGATGATTTACCTGTCATTGCCATTGTAGGAATGGGTGGGATGGGCAAGACAACCCTTGCTCAGCTAGTTTACAACAATGAGAAGGTGGTGAAGCATTTTGGTGATCAAAGGATGTGGATTTGTGTATCTGATGATTTCATAGTTGAAAGGTTATTGAATCAGATGGAACAATCTCTTACACGAGATAAGTCTGAGATAGAAAATATTGAAGGAATAGTGAGAAAGCTTGGAGAAAAACTAAATGGAAAAAAATATTTGCTTGTACTAGACAATGTTTGGAATGAAAATCTAGACAAATGGGAGTGCATGAGAAATTCTTTGCTAGGGATAGGTGGCTCCAGGGGAAGCAAAATTATAGCTACAACCAGGAGTGTGCAAGTGGTATCTACCATGAGGACATCTCCATCTCTCACTCATCATTTGAGCCAACTATCGGAAAATGAAAGTTGGACCATGTTTCGGAAAAGTGCATTTGCAAATGGAGGACCAACAGAGACCCCAGATTTGGTGGCTATTGGTAGAAAAATGATGGAAGAGTGTAAGGGTGTACCATTGGCAATAAAGTCACTAGGAGGTTTAATGTACTCTAAGAAGCACTTTCATGAATGGGGGTTGATCAAAAACAGTGAAATATGGTCAACTGAAATCAAAGAAGGAATTCAACCGATATTAAGGTTAAGTTTTGATCACTTACCATCACCGTATTTGAAACACTGTTTTGCGTATTGTTCTATTTTTCCAAAAAATTTCAACATTCGAAAGGATGAGTTGATTCAACTTTGGATGGCTCAAGGATATCTCCAGCCTTCTTGGGGAAGCAATTTGGAAATGGAAGATGTTGGTAATGATTATTTTAATATTTTGTTGCACAATTCTTTGTTTCAAGATGTAAAATTGGATGAGTACAAAAATATTACCAGATGCAAAATGCACGATCTTGTGCATGATCTGGCACTGGATGTCTCAGAGAATAATTGTTTGGATTTGACTTCGATTGTTGGTGAGGTGAAGTATCATCCTGAGGTTCAACATCTATCATTGGACTTAATGGAAGAAACAATTTTTGAAATTCCAAAAGAAAATGTTGGAAAACTAATGACACTATTTTTTATTGAAAATTTCCCTAAAAACATTGCAGAAGTCGAGTGTATACATACCACGAGTTTGGTAGACTACAATGGGGAAGAGTTGCCAAGTTCTTTACTTAAGTTCATACATTTGAGGTATCTTGATCTCTCAGGGTCATCTATTGCAATACCACCAAATTTTATCTCCAAACTCTACAATTTGCAAACATTGAGAGTTCCATCTTTTACCTGTTTGAAAAAGCTTCCAAAAAAGTTCTATAAGTTGGTTAGCTCGTGACATCTTTACATTGATGATAGAGAAGGGAATTGGAAATTAATGCCAATGATGATAGGGAAGTTGACTTCTTTACAGACATTACCATTCTTTATTGTTGGTGAGGATAAGGACCATAAAATTGAAGAGCTGGGTAGCTTAAGCAAACTAAGAGGTAAATTAATGATTTACAATCTCCAACAGGTGAAAAGCAGGGAAGAAGCAGAAAAGGCAAAAATATTAGGAAAACCAAACATTCGTGAGTTGGGATTTCATTGGAATAGGGTGGGCAATCCTTCAACAGCGAGAGACACCACAAGCATTAACCACGAAGACGTGCTGGAAGGACTTAAACCTCATGGGAACCTTAAGGTTTTAAAACTTGAGAAATTTGAAGGAAAAAATTTTGCATCATGGATGATGAGTGGTAAAGATGCGCAATTGCTTCAAAATTTGGTTGAGATAGAATTATCCGAGTGCACGATATGTGAACAAGTCCCACCACTTGGACACCTTCCGCATCTTGAGGTTATCAGAATGTCTGGATTAAGAAATCTGAAACGTATTGGTCCTGAATTCTATGGTTGTCACAGTGTTGTTAATCATGATCATGATTATCATGCTAATGATGGCATCATCTTTGGTAGCTGTAGTGGGGCAGAAACAACGGCAACAGCAGCAAAAGCACCAACCGTTGTGTTTCCAGCACTAAGAGATTTTCATCTAGAAGATATGTCAAACATAGAAGAATGGTGTGGGCTTGGGGTATCATCATCGTCGTCAGACACCACGATGTTCTTTCCTCTGCTTGAGTTTGTACACATTAGGGGTTGCCCTAATTTGACTACAATTCCAAGTCACTTGTTATGCTTACAAGAATTGATTTGCGAATATGCCTCGGCTTTTTATCAGGAAACTGGAAATACGCATCGCCGTTACTTGAGAATAGAGGTATCTAGGGATTCGAAATGGAAGATTGATGTTTTACTGGTAGATTTGCTGAAAAAAAGCGGCAAGACCCTAAGAAAGCTGACAGTAAGAAAATTGAAAGAGCTATGTTATTTGGCAAATAACTTACAAAACCTTGCATCTCTTGAAGACTTAATGATAGAAGTATGCCCAAATCTAAAGTCTATAATTAAAGAAGCAGAAGAAAAAGAAGAAACGTCGAATTGTAGTGGCTTAACATCTCTTCGGAAGCTTCGGATTTCACTTTGCAAAGATTTGACATGTTTACCAAAGGGACTGCTACAACAAACCCTTGTAACATTAGAGATATCAGGGTGTCCGAATTTAATAATGGCCAATCCAGATGAATTACGCAGCCTCAGATCCCTTCAGAACTTGACGATTAAAGGATGTCCAAGATTGGTGGGTTGTTGGGAGAAGAGGCTATTTTGCCTGAACAGCCTTCGAACATTGACGATAGGTTTATTCTCAGAGGAGCTCGAATATTTCCCCTGGCCTTCCACCACCATAAGTGCTACATCTGCATCTGCATCTGCTTCCACTTCCGTTTCTGTTACTGCTACTGCAGTGGAGGAGGTTGATGATGATGATACCAAATATCATCACCCAAATCCCAAACACTACCCCTTTATCTCCTTGGTATCTCTGACTCTATTTGGCGTTGATAGGGTCAAGTATCTGCCTGATCAACTTCAGCACCTCACTACCTTGAGAGACTTGTCACTTCAATATTTTTATGGACTGGAAACTCTGCCGGAGTGGCTGGGTAACCTTTCTTCTCTTCATTCTTTGCATCTTTGTTGGTGCCTCGATCTGATGAATCTTCCCAGCCTGGAAGCAATGCAACGCCTCACCAATTTACGATCTTTGAAAATTCAGTATTGTCCCCTTATGAAGGAAAGATGCGCAAGGGAAAGCGGCCAAGAATGGCACAAGATTGCCCATATTCCATCCATCGATGTCTTGTAGATTTAAAGGTAACTTATATATTTCTCCAATTGTTATACATGTTCACGACTTCTTCTCTTCTCTTCTCACCCACATCCCATCCCCGACCTTCCCAATGCTGTTTGCTCGTTTCCTTTATCTCATCACTAACCCCTTTTTGGGTTTCAGGTCAAGTGTAATGGTTTCCTCTGCAAATGACTAATCTTCTTCTTCAAGATACCAAACCAAACCAAGCCAAGCCTTAAGTCCCATCAAATGGGGTCGGCTACATGAATCCATCTTCTTCTTCAAGATGAAGCATAAAAAAGTTTACTGCCAATTATGTAAGTCTTCTGTGTCTCCAACCAAACAAGTAATTAATTAATTCCTGAAAATGGTGTAATAACTAAGTAATTAAAACACCTCTCTCTCTCTCTCTTTCTCTCTCTGAAGTCTATCAGTTTTAATCTAGCTTTTATTTTTTTTTGTACGTACTATACATTTTTATCTTGGCTCTAGTATAATACGATTTACTAAACCATGAGTTCATAATAGTTTGTAAAATTTTTCTTATTTGAAACTTATATATATATATATATATATGTTTTCCTTTTCTATTTCGAGGTTTATTAGTATCTCTGTGCTAACACAAATTGCTATGTTACAGGGTCTTCTACAAAGAGTTCCGGTTTTTCTTCATGTGTAAGTGCTAGATTTACTGCCTGCCAGCAGTAAAATCAAATAGTGCAGGCCATTAACAATCGATGTAGGGAGAAGAGGTAATTGTTGGTGCACATGATTTTGCAGTGTCAGAAAAATGTTATGCAAACTTTGTAGGTTGTTAGTCATTTCAGTTATTTGTTTTGTGATTTTCAAGCTTGATAGTTCAACTTCGTCAGTTGAAGATTCTGTCAAGTGAAAAACTAAATAATTTCTATAATCAACCGGTCTTCAAAATTCCTTCCTGCTTAGCTTTTAGTCAAATATTGATTTTCTATGCCAGCGCTATACCTAACCCCCCCAAAAAAAAAAAACAATTAGGAAGGCATGCCAGTGCTCTTGCATGTTGCATTGCGTCCATCTTCATGACGCAAATGTTGGTTTTATGTTGTTATTAACAAAGACATGAATTGAATGAGCTAATTTTCAGAAAATGGGAAGAGAAAAATGACTACCTAATTATATAAGTCAACTTTGTTTTCAGAACATGAGAATTATTATGTGTATCTGCAACCAATTGAAAAGGCCAATTTTTAGTCTTAATCAAAATTTAATTTTATGGATTTTGTATTCCTCCTAAAAAATGATCTATAAGTTTGATTAGAATGTTTCTAAAATTAGAGGATTTTGTATCCATCCTAAAAAATCATCTATAGGTTCAATTAGAATGTTCTTGAAATTTGAGGATTTTGTATCCCTCCTAAAAAATCATCGACGGGATTTGATGAAATGACATGTTTCAATTTTGAACCAACGCTTTTATGACATTCCAATTTCAAATAATCGCATTTTAGTTGCTGAAGCTAAATGATCTAAAACTCATAATGACATGGGGCCCTAACTTTGGATTCTTGAGTGCATTGCTTCAGATGACATGTCCTTAAACACGGGTTTTCCATGCTATCTTGTATATCACTAATTCTAAAAGCCATTGTGCTTCATGCTACCTAGAGTATGCAAAAGTCACCTAAGTTGAGTTGGCATTTCTAATTATAACACTTTGGTCAATCATATTGATTGTTGCATGTGCAAAGGTAGTTTGAGCAGGAGGCTATTAATCTAACGATGAATTTGCCACAACATTCCACTTGGAGGATTGAATCACGTATGTAGTTCTTGTTTGGAGTTCAAATTGTATGATTCAGTTCAATTCAATTTTAATTTTATCTGTTAATGCCTGCCTTTTTCTGCAAATTGGCTATATATGTCAGTTTCTTTGTTTTGAGACACTTCAATATATGATCTGTTACTTGGAGCATCTAACAAATTACATGTAGCATTCTGTTGCCTTTTTTTGTTTGTTTGTTTGTTTAATCTCCAAATCAAGTTTGGTTCATGTACAGAGTTAAATAACCCATCAAGTCATCTCTAACTCATCTGGAAACTTGTATTCATGTACAGATTATTTTGCATGTGAAGCCAAAAGAATAATTTTGTCTATAGTTTTGTCACAAAGATCATGTGCAGCACAAAATTTGCAGGTGGTATTCTCCCTCTATCCCTAATTGATTGAGTATGACATTCTTATAACTAGGAAGTGCTAATCATTCTTTAATGAAAGAATTGGCGCAATCACTATCTGATATTTGAATTGAATTAAGGTAGCTTGCTGGAAATAGGTGCTTAAGCTGGACCTCTCGCATCAGCTGGATCAGCTTACGCTATTGGAAGGACCAAGTGCTTCTGAGTTAGCAAACCTAAAACAAACATGAAAAAAATCGAGTGCAGCTCAAGATTTGCAGGTGGTATTCTAATTCAGTCTGTTTCAGAATCTAATATTTGTGTTACCCAATCATTCTGATCTTCCCATTTCAATTGGGAGCCAATAAAACGTAAGAAAATTGCATATTCGATGCCTCGAATTTTGAATTATGTGAAGCTTACTCTTGGTTCTTAGTTTAAAGTGATTGGTCTAGGATACTTAACGCAAGAAGCATCAACGTTTTTAGACAGTTATAAATCAATTTGTGTCTTTAGGCAGTGTCCTAGACCAGGCACTTTAAAGTTTGTAGACATCAATAAATCAATTTGCAAATGGAGAAACAATAGAGACTCAGAATTTGTTGTGCTCATACTCTCCCAGTTAATTCCTGCCTTTTTCTGCAAATTGGTAATATAGCATTCTGTTGTCTTTTGTTCTTTTTCTTCATTTCCTTATCAAGTTTGTGAATTAATGTGCAGAGAGTATCACATGTGAAGCAAAAAGAATAATTCTGTTTATAGTTTTGTGTCACAAAGATCAACTGCTGCTCAAGATTTGTAAGTGCTATTTTCTGTCTCTGTCTGTCTCTGTCTCTCTTACATTTGATCTAGTTATCTCCTCTTTGGTAAAATGCAGGCTGATAACCTAATGTTCATAATTGGCTATCTCATCCAAATTAAAAGAAATCAGGTGAAGAGAAAACTAAAAGAGATGAAAATTTCATTGCAATATAGATGAGAGTTTTAAACTTTCAATTGTTTCGATGGTATTATGTCCTTTCCATTATTCCGTACTTCAGTCTCTTTCAGAATCTAATTTTTTTGTCAACAAATTATTCTGATCTTTCCATTTGAAGCAGGAGCCAACATATGAAAATTGCTTACTTAATGCCTTGATTTATGAAATTATAAGCTTACTCTTGGGTTCTTCACCCTGCAGATTCCTCTGTCTCTTGGGTTGGTTTAGGCACATCACCAGTAATAACACGCCATAATTTCTTGCCCTTGAGAAAGCCAGTCATGGCTTGGGCCCACAGAATATAATTTGAGCCATCAAGGATAACAGAAATAGGATGAGCAGCGTCTGAGCGATCCATAGAGACAAAATTAGAAAAAAACAGAGCTTACACATCAAAGTTGAATATAAATTGCTTTGTTTCTTTAGGACGTATCTGCTTGATCAACTTCAGCGCCTCATTGCCTTAAAAGTGTTGTCAATTGAAGATTTTGATGGATTGGAAGCTCTGCCAGAGTGTCTGGGTAACCTTTCATTTCTTTCATTCTTTGAAGCTTTGGAATTGCAAGAATCTGATGAATCTTCCTATGCTGGAAGCAATGCAATGCCTCACCAATTTATGATATTTGCATACTTATAATTGCCATGATTTCAGACACCAGCAGCGGTCCCGACAGTGTCTTGATACAATTTGCTAATCATTCATCACAGTGGCAGCAGCGCTAAATAGGGGCATCATTTAGCTGAGCTTTATGTTGACAAAGAAAATGATACAAGAGCTTTAAAGATTGAGGGTTCTCTTATATCTATGGCTAGCTTTTATGCATTATAAATTTGTTAACACTTATAATAGTACTAAACTGTGAGTCATCTGATGCCTCTGGATCCTATTATGAAATCAATTCTGTATTTTTTTTTTTTTGTTGGGAACTTTAGTTTTTGAGAAATGCTATGCATCCCTAAAAAACTACTAAAAATTCTACACACAAGTCACACATTTAGCATTGCTCATAATGGTTGTTACTTGTTGACTGATTTTCCTGTTACTTGTTAGAAAATGAACCTCAAAGCTTTAAGGCAGCAATGACAGGTCCTGAAACACTTTTGTGGAAAGAGGCTATTAATAATGAAATTGAATCCATTATGCAAAATCATACTTGGGAATTGATGGATCTTCCACCAGGTTCTAAACCTCTTGGATATAAATGGATATTTAAGAAAAAAAATGACGGCAGATGGTTCAATAGACAAGTATAAAGCAAGACTTGTAGTTAAAGGTTACAAACAAAATGAAGGTCTGGACTATTTTGACACATATTCCCCTGTGACAAGAATAACATCCATTCCCATGCTTATTGCTATAGCCGCGTTGTTTAATTTAGAAATACATCAAATGGATGTTAAGACAGTTTTCTTAAATGGTGATCTAAATGAAGAGATCTATATGGAGCAACCCAAAGGGTTTGTAGTACTGGGGCAAGAAAAGAAAGTTTGTCGGCTTATAAAATCCCTTTATGAATTAAAACAAGCACCTAAGCAATGGCATGAAAAATTTGATCATGCAATGCTTACTAATGGGTTTAAAATAAACGAATGTGACAAATGCGTCTATGTTAAAAATACTGACCAAGGATATGTCATAGTTTGTCTTTATGTGGATGACATGCTTATCATTGGAAGTAGTCAAAACATGATCAAATCAACTAAGCAAATGCTTAACAAAAGATTTGATATGAAGGATATGGGGGTCGTAGATGTTATATTAGGAATGAAAATTACTAAAACCTCTGACAGATATGCATTATCTCAATCTCATTATATTGAGAAAATTATTGATAAATTTATTAAGGATGATATGAGTGTTGCAAGAACACCTGTAGACATTAGTCTTTATTTATCGAAAAATAAAGGTGGTGCACTGTCTCAGTTAAAATACTCCTAAATCATTAGAAGCCTAATGTACCTAATGAATTGTAATCGTCCTGACATAGCTTATGAAGTCAGTAAATTGAGTAGGTACACTAGCAATCCCGGAGAAGACCATTGGAAAGCGATCATTCGGGTTCTTAGATATCTAAGATTTACTCGTGATCATGGTTTGAACTTTACTCAATATCCAACAGTACTCGAAGGTTATTGTGATGCAAATTGGATATCGGATACTAAAGATTCAAAATCCACAAGTGGATATGTCTTTACTCTAAGAGGCGCTGTTGTTTCTTGGAAATCCACGAAACAAACATGCATTGTGCGATCCACAATGGAATCCAAGTTCATTACTTTAGACAAAGCAGGAGAAGAAGCAGAATGGCTTCATCACTTCTTAGAAGACATTCCAATGTGACCAAAACCTGTGCCAGCTATTTGCATTCATGGTGATAGTCAATCTGCAATAGGTAGGGCACAGAATCACATGTATAACGGTAAGTCACGACATATTCGCCGTCGACATAATACCGTAAGGAAGTTGTTGTCAAATGGAATAATATCAATAGATTATATAAAATCTAAAGAGAATATTGCGGATCCGTTAACAAAAGGTTTGACAAAAGAGCTAGTGTATAGTTCATCGAAGGGGATGGGGTTAAAGCCTATTACATAAGAGTCGTCATAATGGTAACCCTACTTATATGACTGGAGATCCCAAGAACTAAGTTCAAAGGGACAACTAAGTTATGTGTAGCTCGCCAGAAATCACCAAGGGATTAAAATTCCCTATCCATTCCTATGGTGAGAGTGATATCTGCAACATATGTTGTCTACATGGGTATACGGATAAGCTTTGCTTTTAATGATTACTTATATCTTGATTTTGGTATAAAAATCAAGACAAGTATAAAGAGATACTTACAATAAGAATCACCTATATGAGTGTCGAACTGGGGCCGGTTCTATGAGAGTGAAAGAGGCTAAATTCTCTAGAAACACTAATGAAAACCAAGAGCGTTCAAGGCCAAAATGAACACAACAGTGAGAACCACGATGTGTTAGAAGATATTTTGTGTGAAATCTATTGTCTTGGCTTATACAAACGGCTGAACAATTCAAGGCATCGCGTCCATTGGTTAGCCAGTAAGTCCGATAGGTTATCACTAGGGAAGGTTCAAGGCCAAAAGCTACCTATTCTGATGCAAGATATTTTCGACTTATACTTTTTCGATAAAGTCTGCATATTGTTGCATTGCTGTTGTCATCAAATTCCATTCATGTGGGGGATTGTTGGAAATGGTTTGGAAAATCTGGGTAAAAAAATAGATTTTTTCCTAACTTTGGTCTAATATTTAGGTGGGACCCGTGCGTCGATTTTCGTGGGTCTAAGTGGTAGCACGTTCTATGCCGCGTTGTGATTCACGTGGTATATTTGGTTACTCAAAACCATTATCGAGTGAATGGAAAATTGAAGCCAAAGTGTGCTCCGTGAAAATGGAGTTTTGGTGGAAATTCCTTAAGGTTTGTGTAAATGGCTTGTCCCACATTGGTTTGGTGGGAAGTTTTGAATGGGTTTATATAGCTTGTCCAACAATTTAATAGCATCAATTTATGGTATTTCATAAAAGAATGACACAAGAAATTGTTTTAATGACATTTTTCAAAAGATGGCACTAAACTCTAGTAGTAATGGCATTTTTTTTAAAATGTCAGTAAACTAGATAGATGGAAGTTACTTTTTATGGCATTAAGTGAAAAGTGTCATAGACAAATATTTTATGGCATTTTGAGAAATGTCACTAAACCAAAAAAATTTCCAAGCTATCTAATGTCATTGTTTGAAAAAACAAAAAATGTCAAATTGAACCGCTTAACCTTTATTTGCTGGCTCAATGGTTTCTCCAAAAATTCTGAATGTGCTACAAACGAAAGCAGTGGAGACTCTAGCTTCAACATGTGGCTGTTGCCTCTTCTCTGCCTTCTACCTTTGTCTAAAAGAAATTGCATGGATATGTGTATGTAAGAGAAGAGGTAAAATTGATCTCTAAGATGTGGCTATGGTTTTGCCCCAAAATCTATAGATATAATACAGATAATTGTGGGAATTGGTTGGACCTCCAAATTGGACAAGCGGTGTGTCCATGTCCTTTGTATCAGATGCTTAGATGTAGAAAATTATATATATATATAGCTCTTCATTCTACTATTAGGTGTCATCTGCGGTAAACCAAAAAATCTAGTATGTTCTCCTCTGTCTCATCCTATCTTCAATGATGTATTTGATTATGTCTTCTGCAATTCATTCATACTCTTGTTTTATTCATATTTGGTTCCCTTTAAAATTGGCCTACCATGTGTTTGCCAATATGTCTAAACCATAAAAAATTTCATAATAGGGAAAAAAGTAATAAATTAGCATTAACCGTAACTAGTAATTGTCATAAGAAAATTCCATTGGTTAGTAATGTAGATATCTGCATAGATCCTCACTACTCATCACTTATTATTGGAATTTTTTTTTGTTGGGAGATATTCATATATTTGTTGTTAGGATGCCTACTGTGTTTCTTTATGGTTGAGATGTTTTCATGCCTACACTGAGATTGAATGGAAATGGGAACAACAGTTGCATGTTATTTTCTCATTCTCTGATGAATGGCTTTCTTACATCTGATTTTTTTTTTTTTGTAACTCGAAAAATGATGAGCGATGAAATCTTTGCCTCTTATTATCTGGCTTGAATATTATTGCATTAGAATTGAAAGCTAATGTGCTTCAAGATTTAGTGATTCTTGGTAATCAACAAACACTATGGCGTAGTTCTGAGTGATCCTGCTGGAGTGTCATTGTGAACTATATACAGTTTTTATTAACTTTGTGAGCAGATAGTATCTTAAACCACTTCACTAACCTTTATTCTTCAAACATCCAAGGTGTAGGAGGGCTCACCACATGGGTTCTAATTCTAAATCAGTTGTTGATTTCATAGAAGGTTCATCAGGGGTTCATTTTTGGATGGATTGGAGCTAAGAAATTTAGAGGCGGAGCAATGAAAGCAATGATAGTATGTATCAAATAATTATCTCTTCATTTGAACTTGTAGATTAGTTAAAATTGCTACATTATAGTGTTGAGTGATTGAAATGTATATATTAAGTCATGTTTAATGCAACCTTATACGATGAAATAAATGAGAGGACTACTTTAAATGCAAATTTATCAAATCAGGGCCCAAATGATACATTTGGACAAGTGATGGGTAAAGAAAAACATGAACGAGTTCGCATGTATGGATTAGGTATCTCCCCGTTTAATTTATGGAGAGACACATATGGTCACAAAGCAAACCAAGACACAACAATGGATGCTATGGAAGCTAAAAATTCGGAGCTAAGGTCCAAAGTTTCCCATGTTAAGCATGCTCTGAATAACTTGACAAACACATCTAACCAGGTAATTTTTTTAATAGAATTTATAAGTTATTAATGTTTTCCTACACACACACACACACACACACACACATATATATATATATAGACATACATATATCTATGTGTGTGTGTGTGTGTTTGTAAAATTAATTAGTTCATATTTGGTTACGTCATAACAACTTCTAGTCCTCTTGACATGGCAGCTCGACATTAAGTATGGTCCTTGTCATCGATACAAGATGCCTCTCTTACTCAGGTACCTACTGAGAGCTAATCATATATATTGCATTACTTCCAGCTTTACTTTAGAATAGCATGCAAAACTTGTCTTACAATTAACCAAGGAATGAATATTGTAGACCTAAATTTCATTGTTTAAATCTAGACAAAATGTGTTACATAGTAAAAATCATGACATGACGAAGCTTGTGCTTTTTATTTTTATCTTTATTTTCTTGTGAAGTTTCAACAAGACATCTTTAAATCATTTATTACCGCATGGGCTCTTTCTGATTCCCTCAAAACCTTGCTTGAAAGCAATTAGTTGATTGTCATTTTTCACAATTACATT